CCCTGTGGGCAGGAGGACCCCGGGGGCTGGCTCGGGCACAGGCAACCAGCAGCTCCTCACCACTCTCAGCCTCACTGCTGTGAACACCCTTCTTGCTCTCTTGGACTGTCGCCCCTCAGGCGCTGGGGGGACCCACAGGAGAGCACCTCGAGGTGCCTACACCGTTTGAGGGTGAATTCCCCAGCCTGGGGCCTGTAGCCCGGCCTGGGCCTGCTAACAGGAAGAAGCCTCCCTCCCATAGGGAGCGCCCCTGTTCGGGCTTCTGGGACTGGAGTTCCTGCCCCCTGACCTCTGGGCCGTCACCCTCCCCGCAACAGCCGCAGCTTCTCTGGGCAGGTCCGTTTTGCAGTCAAGGAGCCGACAGCGCACAGATAGGAGGTGACTGGCCCAAGGAACCTTCGGCCTCTGACTTAGATCCCTGGACAGAGGCGGCCACTGGGTGACTCCCACGTCCTCCAAGGGAGGATTAGGAGGGAAGTGGGGGTCGGGCCAGGGGAGGGCGCCTTCCCGGCCTAGACGTCCTTCCTGTTGCTTTTCCTGTGTCGTCATTTTCTGACGCCCTATTGTCCTTGGGGGTGACCAGAAACTCCTTCCTGCTGGCCGAGCACACCTCTGGGAGCCAGAGGGGAGAGGGTGCAGAGCCGCAGGACCCCGACGCTCCAGCCCCGGTCCAGCCGCCACCTGACCACCAGCGCCTCCCTTGGGGTCAGCAGTGGCTTGGCCGGGCAGGGCAGGACTGGCAGGTGGGGCCCCCGTGCGGGGTGCCTTGGGGCCCCCCTTCTGAATGCAGCCGGCTCTGTCCCTTCCTCCCCCTGCTGGGTGCCTCCGCCCAGCGAGGCCCCTTCCTCCTGGCGGCTTAGTCTGCTGCGCTGTTTATTCTGTCCAGCTCTTCCTTTTTATGGCTTTATTGCGGTGTGATGGAGGGATAGCTGTGCATTAATTCAAGTGTTCATCTTGATACATTTGATAGAGGCACATATACCCATGATACTGACTCCACAATCCATCACCCCAAAGGACCCTCCTGCCACTGGCCATCCCGCCCTGCCCCCTCACCCCCTGCAGGGGACCACTGATTTGCTAGCGATTAGTTTATATCCTAGAATTTTCCTATAAGTGGAACTACACTCCTCTATTAAATGTTTTTCTCTGCGAAAGACGCACATGGACTCAGGTCGGCAGGGAGTTGCTGGAACGTCTGATCTAGACTGACGGTCAGGGAGGGCTTCCTGGAGGAGGTGCTGCTGAGCTGAGCCCTATACCAAGGGAGCAGATAGGTAGAGTGCAAAGTATTTTGAACACTAAAAACAAATCTATGTGTTTGGAGGATTTGGTAACAGACTGATCAGATGGGGCCTTTCGCCATTTTGAGGAACCTGAGCTTTGTAGGGGAGTTAGAAGCCAGGCAGGAAGGAGCAAGGGGGTTCCTTGACTTATTATCAGGTGTGGGAGCCGCTGGACCTGGGCAGGAGACCCAGAGGCAGCGCTTAACAGTTCTAGCATGGACAAGTTTTTAAAACTGTGTGTATTTCCACAATTACATGAATAAGTCGTTTTGGCAAAGGAGCTCAGTGTTAATGAGTTCGGTCTGTCTGTGATTTACCAGCCCTCCTCTCCCCCCCGTTCCCGCCCCTGACAGGTAACCTTCCTGGAGTCCTAGCTGTAAACGAGGCGCCTGCAGGCCTCTACTTACTGGTGCCCTCCCCTCCCTGGAGTCCTGACCTGGGAGATGCTGACCAAGTGCTTTCACTCCCCCTTTTTGTGCTTAAAGCTGCTCCCATGGTCCCTTTTAGCAACTGGGGGGCCCATTTCGCAGGTGGCTGGGGCTGGGGGACAGCACGCAGCCCAGGACGGCTGGCTCACTGCAGGGCAGGAGGGGAGGTAGCAGGCGAGAGACCAGCCCCAGAGAGACCAGCCGGCCGTTCCTCTGCTCGGGAAGTCTGTGCCAGTCTCTCCCCGTCTTGGGAAAAGCGCAATTTTGACTCTTTAGAGAAGTAAACATTTGATGTTAGTAAAGATGCAAAATTAGTAACATTAGGAATGTCATGGCAGACTTTGGGTGTGGACAGCGGCCTTCGACACAGTAAGCTGGGGGCAGCCTCGGGGAACAAGGGGCCCTTTCTGCGTCTGGTGAACACCCCCGTCTCCACCTGCCCACCCGCCCTTAGGGAGCCCAGTCTCCAGGCCCTTGCCGGAGGCCTCGGGATGCAGCCCTGCGGCTGGCGAGGGACTCAGGCCAGCTGAAGCAGATTTCAGTGACCATTTTAGACACAGGGAGGTTCAGTATCCATATTTTAAAAATGACTGGACCCAGGATAAATAGCGTTGCCCCAAAGGAAGCTGAGCTCTGGGGCCAGGAGGCTGTCTCTGACCCAGGGTGCCCATCGGCTTTCTGAAAGGAAGAAGGGCGTGGCGGGAAGGAAGCGGGGTGTCCCGGGCAAAGGTGGACTGGGTGAGAGGAGGGACCAGCCACCCGGGCCCTGCTCTCCATCGTGGCTCGTGACAGCAGATCTGTCACCGTGACCCTCCAGGGCAGGATTGGGGAGCCAGGGTGAGGCCCCGAGCAGGTCCCCGACTCAGGCCTGGGGACTGGACCAGCGGACGCGTGGGTGCGGTCCCGGCTTGGGGAGCGAGAGCAGGCAAGGAGCAGCGCTGGCTGTGTCCTGGCATTGGAGGACGCGGAAATTCCCTTGAGCAGACACAGCTTGATACACTGACACAAAGAAACTCTGAATAACCCTATAGGGGCCGTTAGCGACATTGACTCTAACCGCAAACCTTCCCGTAAAGAAAACTGCAGGTTCCGTGGGCTTCCGTGACATATTTTTTCAGGCTTTTAACAGAGAGAATTTCATTCCCCAAACTCTTAAATAATAAAGTGGGAACGTGTCATTATTCAATACTTCATGAGCCCAACAGAAGGCTGAGACAAAAGCTAGCAGAGTCATTGCAAGGAAGGGAGACGTGTGAGGCCAGGCGCTCTCCTGAGCGTGGATTCCGAGATCCGAAACAAGAAATACTAGCAAAGCAGCCCAGCGGGGCAGGAGGAGACGTCGTGGCCCGGAGGAGTCGGCACCAAGGGACAGACGGGTTGGGTTGGCGCAGGTGGAGCGGCCAGATGCAGTCGCGACCTGTGCACAGTAACCGGCCGGAGCAGCCAGGAGCTTCTTCACCTGACAGAGGCCGCCTCCCTGGGAGGTGGCCGCACACGCATGTGCAGGCCAAGCGGGCCTGGCCTTTGTTTGGGACCAAGAGCAGGGCCTCGCCTTTCCTAGTGGACGTGTGGGAGCCCACAGCCGGTACAGTCAGGCAGAACAAACAAACAACTAAGGGTCGGACTATAGAGAGCGGAGAAGATGGGGAACTGCTGACGGGTGCCCTGTGTGTAGAGAAGCCAGCCTGAGCCGCCGGCCAGCGAGGCTGGGTGCACGCAGGGCAGAAGCTGAAGATGCAGGTGAGACACCGCTCCCCTCGCGCTCCCCTCAAAACTCGTGGGCATACGTTTGACAAACGAGCCCTAGTCTGAAAACCGTAAAATGTCTCAGAAAGAAACTAAAGAAACCCTTTGCTGAGGGGGGTGCTGTGCCCCCCTCGGGCTGGAGGCCACAGTGCCGGCGCTGAGGCTGTCCCGACGGGAGGGAGTTTCAGTGTTAGAAACCAGCGGGCTCTCAGATTTAACAGAAATGCAGTTCTTTGGAGAGGTTAAGGAAGTACCAACCGTGTCCGCTTAGCTCTGGAGGTTGCAGGACCTGCTGTAAAGCTGGGGGCGGCCCTGGTGCCCCCAGAGACAGAGCCCAGCGGGAAGGGACTGTCCAGAAGTGCAGTCTTGTGTGCCTGCGGGGTCCTGCCGCAGGCCCGGACAGGACCTGACTGGCGTTTGGATAAACTGCCCATGTAAATCTGGGTGGAAAAAAGCCCCACAGCTAACTGACCTGGGGGCTTGCGATGTCTGGAGACAGTTTCAGTTACCAAAGCGTGTGGGGTGTGGCCGGCAGGAAGCAGGGAGCAAACCATCCCCAGCTGAGAATAGCTGATAGGTACAAATGTAAAAAGCCACACAGCTGAGCTGAGCTGAGCTTCCTGGGGCTTTTTTTAGTTGAAAAGATAAAACCACGCAGGCACCCCACTTGCTGAAAGTAGTCCCTAGGCCTCTTGAACTTAACGTGGGAGGCAGCAGAGTCCTGAGATGGACACCCAGCCGTGGCCTTCTTCATGCCCCTGGAAGAAGCCCAGCCCCACGGCCCCCAGGCCATGGGAGCCACAGCCCAGGTGTGAGGTGCTCTCTGTGGTCCTCCCCGATCCTGTCTCGTGGGCACCCGCTGCAGTCACCCTCTGGCCTCACGGGTGGTTAGGAAATGTGACAGGTGAAATGCACGTTGGAGATGACTCTCCCAGGGGCTCGACCGCCCCGCCCAACGGAACCCTGAACGGAACCCTGCGTCCTGCGCCAACGAGGAGAGCGCAGGGGAGAGCCGGCTGGGGCCGCTCAGCTGCTTAGGCGCCACCAGCCTCCTGGGGCAGCAGCTAGGCCAGCAGTTTTGTTTCAGCCGCTCCAGCCGAGCCCCGTCGGGCTGGTGAGAATCTGGGACGGGGCCGCCCAGTCTGGCCCGGAGAGCCCTGTGTTTCCCGACACCCACACCCCAGCTGGCCTGCAGCAGCCCTCAGGTCTGACACTCACAGAGGGGAACACTCGCAGAGGAGGCAAGGGGGCTGTTGAGGGAGCTAAGCCTCCGGAGCCGTCCCACCTTCTGGACGCTCACACCAGGAGCAACTTGTGACCCCCACGCCCAGCTGGGTGAGGACCTGCCTGCCAGGACAGGGGTCTCTTATCTGGGTGCTTGCCAGACTCTTCTGGGTATTAAAAGTGACCTCGGGGTCACCCAAGGCTGGGCCACTCTGCTTTCCGGGACCAGCCAGGCACCGTTCACTCTGATCTGGGCACCTGGTGTGGGGGCGGGTGGGGATCCCAGACCACCGCTGACCCCTCTCTCCCCCCGCAGTGTACCACTGGGTGGAGATGCGGACCAAGATGCGCATCATGGGCTTCCGGGGCACAGCCATCAAGCCGCTGAACGAGGCCGCCGCGGCCGAGCTGGGCGCCGAGCTGCTGGGCGAGGCCACCATCTTCGTGGTGGGCGGCGGCTGCCTGGTGCTGGAGTACTGGCGCCAGCAGGTGCAGCAGCGCAACAAGGAGGAGCAGCAGCGCGCGGCCTGGGACGCGCTGCGGGACGAGGTGGGCCGCCTGGGGCTGGCGGTGCAGGCGCTGGAGGCGCAGGCGGGGCCCGGGGGCGCGCTGGAGGAGCTGCGGGCGCAGGTGCGCGAGGTGCGCGCCCAGCTCGGCGCCCAGGGCGCGGCGGCCCAGGCGGCGTCTGCCGCCAAGAAATAGGAGGCCCCGGAGCCGGACTTGGATGTGAGCCTGAGCGCCGCCTGGCCTCTCCCGGCGCCACCCTGCCTGTGCTGGCCTCGCGGAAACCACGGACCTCGGCACGGCCCCTCCCCCCCGGCGGGGGGCCGTCCAGCACGCCCCCAGCCTCGCGCTGGTTGGGTCAGTCCATAGAGCTCATCTCTCCACCCCTCACCCCAAACCACGGACCCCCGCGGGCAGGACGGCACAGCTGTCCCCTGACAGAAGGAAAAGGGAGCCTGGACTTGAGCCGAACCCGCCTGCCGAGCCCCTTACTTGATCAGGGCTCCCTGCCCGGAGCACTCGCCCTCGGACTGGACCCGAGCACCCGCCTTCCTTTCGCCGTGGGGCGTCAGCGGACTTCATCCCCTCAGGTGGCTCTTTGAGGGAGGGGAAGGGACCCCGCTTGTCTGTCTTTCCCCTTAACCAGATCCCTGCTACCTCCAGGAGTGGGGTGCACAGCAGGACCCCTCAGCCTGTCTGTGGGGCCACCTGGCGGAATGGCAGTGCAGGGGCTTCTGAGGTGCTGCTCTCCCAACCCCCTTCAGTGGTGGAAGAGCTGGACCTGCCCAGGGCTCATCCAGCTGCCTTCCAGCCTCGCCCCCGCGTGGGTCCCCATTCCCCCCCACTCCCCCCACCCCCTTCTCTTAGGCCATTCCCGCTGCCCCGTGCCCGCCTCAGCCAGTGGCCTGCCTCGGGGGCCACGGCCACGGGCGAGCTGAGCATGACCCCTTGTTCCAAATCTGGCCATCTCTGCTCTTGTCCTCTCAGGGCTCGGCGGTGCCCAGCCCCCTCCCGCGGAGATGCCTGTCCGAGCCTCACCCCCACCCGCTGGTCAAGGCTGCTCACTGGCCTGCTTCCCGGCCGACATCACAGCCCCCTGGACTTGGTGGCTTAGGACAAGGCTTTATTCTCTGTCCTGGGGGCCAGAGGCCCAAAATCAAGGTGTCCACAGGGCCATGTATCCTTGGAAGACTGGAGAGGGAGAGCCCTCCTGGCCTCTCCAGTTTCTGGGGTGCCCAGGGACCCTTGACTTGTTTGAGTAGTATCCCCAGTCTCCACCTTGGTCTTCTCATGGCCTCCTCCTCTTGTCTCTTATAAAGACACAAAATCTTGAATCCTGCCTGACCAAAGTCCTGAGTCCTCTGATCAAAGAATTTAGGGCCCCAAGTCTGGGATGATTTCATTTAGTAATCCTCACCTTAATTACGTCTGCAAAGATATTTTTTCCAAATAAACTCATTTGCAGGTCTCAGGGGTTAGGATGTGGGCATACCTTGTTTTTTTTTGGGGGGGGGAGCAACATTCAACCCACTACATCTCCCCACCCCTAGTTCTTTCCCAGGTGGGGAAGCTGAGGCAGAGGGGCTTGCCCAGAGCCGGCCAGTGAGGGGCTGTCCCAGGTGGTGCACTTGTAGGGAGCAGGTGCGAGCAGTGAGGGAGAACCCACCAGGAGCTGGGTGAGGAAGGAGAGACTTCTGCGAGATGGGACCTCCCCAGGGAGGCCAAGGCATCCCAGGGGCAGTCTGAGGGGGTGCAGCGGGGAGAGGGGTCATAGGGAAACTCAGTCTCATATAACATCAGCCTCAGATCACCCCCAAGGGATCCCTTCCACCTGGGCTCCTTCCCAGGAGTCAGCAGGTGAAGTGGGGGGTCCCTTCCCGCCCTCGCTGCGCCTCAGCTCACTCCCCCTTCAGGGTGCTGAGACCTGCCCAAATGGAAAAAGAGGAAACTTTACGGGTTCCAAAGCAGCATATCAGTTCCTTCTAGAAGAGGGGGAGAAGCTGGTAGAGGGTGCTGAGGAGGTGGGCCCTGGGTGGGGGTGTCTTTAAAATGGGAGGTGACCTGAGCGGGCTAGTGACGAGGGGAAGAAGGCAAAAGATGCAGACCTGTGTGCGGAGGGAAGCGGCTGCCCGGCCCGTGCCTGGTGTCCATGGTCGCCCACGGCACTGGCCGGGGAGCACAGGCAGCAGGCGGCCAGGGCTGTCCAGCGCGGTCGTCACTGCAGCAGAGCCGGGTTATTGAGGCCTCCTCAGGTCCCGGGCACTGTTCTAAGTGCTGTACGTGACCTGTGGCATTTGCCGAGTGTCGCTGGTGAGCAGTGAGGCACGGGGACAGGCACCTGCTCTCGGGGAGAGGCAGAGGTGGGTGTGAAGGTGGCCGTCAGATGGGCCAGAGCTGGGGCTCCTAACCCGGCACGCCCCAAGCCTGACCCAGCGCCGCCCTCGCCCCTCCGGACTCAGGCCTCAGCCATGACTGTCCTGACCGAGGCCAGTCCCCTTCACCCGCTGGGTGGGCCGGATCAGGTGTGGCGTGGAGAGATTCCGCTCTCAAAGGCGCCAGGCCCCACCATGCGCCGCCGCCCTGGCGCCTCAGGAGTTCATATCTTGTATGCGTTTGTGACCTGGGGAGAGGGCTTAGAATAAATTTGTAATTCAAGTCTGTTGTCTTCAAGTTGGTGTGATTTCAGTCCACCCCGCCCCCCCCAAGAAATCCTTTGGACCCTTGGAAGAAATGGCCTTTGTTTATTCCTTTATTCAGGAACGGGTCACTGAGGGTCACTCTGTGCTCTGCCCTGTACCATGTTGGGGTCACAGTGTGACAGACCCACTCTGCTCTCGCAGGCCTTCGGTCTAGTGGGAGAAGGGGGACAGGGGCAGAAGGCACACAACTCAGCCGGGGTCTCGGGGACCCAGCGGACAGGCCCTGCACAGAGCAGACGCTGACTCCGGAGTCTGAGAAGAGGCATCAGCTTTCTTTGTGAATCACTGGGCAGGAAAGCCGGGGATCAAGTCAAATCTACCTCCACTACTGAGCAAGGGAATGAAGTCATACAGGTTTGGGGGACCAGGCTTGAAACAAAGGCACCGACTTCCTGGCCGAAGAGCAGTTAGGAGCAAAGAAAGGCTCGCGTTGTCCAGTGAGCCTGGACGAAGCTCATGGGCCTGTCACAGGGCCGTTTCTACGTGAGGGCGAGGGGGCTTTTCTTCAGAACACCAGTGTTGAGTTTGTGCCCGTCCCCGCCTCTCTGTTCTGTCCCCAGCAGGCTCGAGCTGAGCTCAGGGTTGTCGACAAACCTCCTCGGCCTTTGCTGTGCCGGTAAAAGCAAGTCTCAGGAAACAGTGCGGCCCAGTCTGTCTCGGGGCAGGTGGACCGCTTGCCCCGGTTTTGCTGACTGTGTTGGTTCCCCTGTTGGGCAGGCCCCAGCCTGGAGAAGGGCCAGGATGCCGCGAGCATCCTCCGAGCCCTGCCTGACCCACAGGGCCATGTACTGGCACCCTGGATGCTGAAGGGCCGGGCCCGGGTCCCCTGGCTCAGTGGACAAAGGGAGAGGAGAAGACTGACCAAAGACAGGAGCACCGTCCACCTCCCCTCCGCTGTCTGCACTCTCTGGAGTGTCCCCTGAGCGCCTGCTGTGCGCCAGGCCTGGCCACCTGGCGGCTGGGGACAGCCAGAAGCCGGCCTGTGTGGAGCTGGGTCCACTGTGGGCCTCCAGGAGCAGGCCGGCGAGGGCTGCGTGGCTGACTTAGGGCAGGTTGTGGGAGGAGGCGCGGTCCAGATCACCTGGAGGCCGCCAGCAGGGAGTGAGGAAGGGCGATGGGATGGGGTCCACCGGAGTTCTGCTGTCCACACCGGGCTGGGGCTTGAGGGCCAAATCCAGCTGGCCTGCTGCCTGACTTTGGAAATAAAGATTTACCGGAACACAGCGTGCTCATCCACTTGGGTATTTTCTTTTGTCAAAAAACAAGATTTATTTTTACTCACATAAGAACTGGGGTGTAAGCCTAAGGTTTGGGGGGTAAGAGGATTCATCAAAGACAGAGTGGGGAGCAGAACAGGTGGAACTACTGAAATCCACTGAGGGGCGGGGTGGTGGACAGGAGAGGCCTGCTGCGCCCTGTGGGTCACTCCCTGGCCGGGGGTCGAACCTGCGCTGCAGTGGCTGTGATGGCTTCATAGTGTGGACCCTGCTGGTGTGTTTTCTGTGGCTGCTTTGGCACGGACGTTTGCAGTACATATCATGGCTTTCAAAGCTGCCCATCTTCACGCTTCAGCCCTGGAATAGCGTGAGCTGGGGCGAGGGGCATGGGGATAGGGCTGTCCCCCGAGGTGGTGCTGCCTGTCCTTCGCCCTGACTGTCCCTCGCCCTGACCTCTGGCGCTGCCTCTCACCTCAGCTCCTCCAGGTCTGGTCCAGCTTCCTACCTCCCACCCATGGGATCTGTTCCTAGAGACACCCCCAGAGCCTAGCGCACCCCAAGCTCCGTCTCTGTGTCCCTCTGTGGCAACAAGCCACAATAAAAGTCGTAATTTATATAACCCGCCGTAGTCCTGTCTGTATAATCCACAGCTCCCACTGTCTATATCGACACTGTGTGATTTGTGCAGTCTAGCATAGAAATGTATTTTTGCCGAATGTGTAACATAGCAGTATATTCTCTCTGTATCTGTGTGTATTAAGATTTTATTTATTTATTTTGCCTAGAAGAACTGGGATGCAGGCCAGAGTTACGGGTGATGAGAGGAGTCACCAGAGACAGAGTGGGGAGCAGAACAGGCAGATGGACTGAAATCCACTGTTCAGGGGCGCAGCGGGGAGAGGGGAGAGATCTGCTGCGCCCTGTGGGTCATCTCCCTGCCTGGGGGTTGAATTCAGGCTTTGTCGGTAATAGAAGCGCTAAGACTTAACCCCTAGACCATCAGGGAAGCCCACTGTATATAAATGATGGATTGAGGCCTCCCTGGTGGCGCAAGGGGTTAAAGCGCAGCACTGAAACTGCAGCCACTGGGGCGCAAGTTCAATCCCCGGCCAGGGAGTGACCCACAGGGCACAGCAGACCTCTCTTGTCTCCGCGCTGCCCCCCTCAGCAGTGTATTTCAGTCTGCCTGTTCTGCTCCCCACTCTGTCTCTGGTGAGTTCTCTCACCTCCTGCAACCCTGGCTTGTACCCCAGTTCTTGTGTGCGTAAATAAATCTATTTTAAAAATAGATTGAAAGTTTCACTAACTATTCTTCAGCCTGTATAGTATCTAGCCTGTTTGCTCCTGTTTATTCCATAATGAAGAGAAACCTACATATATATATGTATCGTACATACCTAATAAATGTTATAAACATACCGATTATCTGCATTACGTAACGTGGATTAAGTGTTAACATCACGCGTTACGTAAACCTTGTTGGGACAGAGTTTCCCTGAATAATTGCCGTTATAATGTGCAGTGTACTGGTACTTGGTATTTATTCTGCTTCCTGCAGAAAAGCCTATGTATGTGTCCTACAAACCTGCAGAAAGTGGGCAGCCTGGGGAGACGGGAGTCTCAGGAGCTCCGAGCAGAGGAGGAGCGTGAGATGCCTCAGTTTTCACAGACTGGGAGGGCAGACGTAGGGGAGCCAAGGTGGACCCCCCACCTTTACAGAGGCGTGTGAGCATCCAGGCGGAGGTGACACATTAGTATTTCAAAGGTAGGATTTTCTGAGCGACAGGATATAGGGAGTCACGGCTCTGAGGTGTTTGCTTTGTGCACCCAGGAGGGAAATGTTGGCCTGTTTTGGGCCTTCTCTGCACCTGTTTTGCTGCAGGTGCAGAGAAGGGGGGATACCAAGGCCTCCTCCACCCCCAAGATGTGGCCTCTGGCAGGTGTTTGCTGTTTGTTCTGACCAGTCGCCCCAGACAGGGGGAGAGACCGCTTGCTCGCTGATGCCTGTCACAGAGCTCACCCCCAAGTCGCATAATTGACATTCAGCATCTGCCTGACTCCTGCGTATGGGGACCCTCTCGGTGCCCATTTGGGACGTCCTGAGGAAGGTGGCAAATGGAAGAGGTGGCCTTGGGCTTGGGGACCCTGGTTTTGGGGCTCCCCTCACCCCTGGAGTGGCAGTGCCCAGCCAGGCTTCCAGAGGCACCTCCATTGGATAAGGGCTGATAAACCCCTGGGAGGCACCGTGGGCTCCGCTCCGCACCTTCCTGCGCCTCGAGATCTACTTGCATAGATGCACGGTCCCTTCATGGACGTTCCAGCATACCAGAGACCAAAGCCCCTCCCTGGGAGGAAACCCTTGCGCAGTTTGGGGGCCTTTGGCAGGCCCCTTCCAGGAGCCTGCAGTCCACTTGGCACTGCCGAACCCCCCCTTGGTGGGCACCGGACCCCCACTTCTCGCCTCCTTCCACAGCGAGTCATGGAGTCATGGCAAGAGCCTCGCAGGCTGCTGTGAGCCAGGAGATCCCCAAAGCGGAAAGCACCGAGTGCCTTAGGCGGACTTCAGTGCTAGGACCTGCCCCTGAAAGCGCAGGGAGCCGCAGAGTGGGCGGCGCTTGCAAATCTCAAACATGAAACAGTTCAAAGCCGGCAAATGCTGGAGAGGACGCAGGATGCCGTTACTTGCACCGGCTGTTGACCTTGGGGGGCGGCAGGGAGAGGTGCAGGGGTCCCCATTCGCACATGGGCCGAAGGGGTTTCTCTTCAAAGTCACCGAGTCTGTCAGTCTTTTCCCATCAGGCCTTTGCTTTCTCCGCCGTCACTGGAGAAGCGCCCCTCCTCCACCTCGAGGGTGTCCGGCTTCCCACCCAGGTCCACCTCATTTTGCATTGTCTAAGCCCGGGAGGGAGCACAGCGAGCAGCGGCCGTTCTCTGACCAGGTCCTGGGCTGCCCTCTCCAGCGCCCTCTCCACCATCCACAGGAACAAGCCTGTGCTGCACCGACCAGTCTCCAGTGCCCGCCGGCCCCTGCTCCCTGGACCCAGCGCCGCCTCCTGCTGCCCTCTGTTCCTTCCTCACAGGCCCTGTCTCCTCCTGCCCCCTGCGCCAGCACCATCGCCTCCTCAGGATCCGCCGCGAGAGCTTGAGAAAACACGCCGGTCTCTCCTAGGCAACACAGCGCTTTTGTCGTTTTTTGCTCAAACTTACTGTTTTATTCCCGGGCCTTTACTCCTTGCAACGCGTTGTTCCAAGATAAAGGTTGTTTTTTTTTTTTTTTAAATGAGATTTATTTTCATTGATTTATGCATAGAAGAGCTGAGGTGTAGGCCAGACTTGCAGGGGGTGAGAGTAGCTCCGCCTGTTCTGCGCCCCGCTCTGTCTCTGGTGAATCCTCTCCCCCCTGTACCTCTGGCCTGTACCCCAGTTCTTCTAGGCAAAAATAAGTAAAATAAAAAATTTTTTAAATTTATCTATGCATACAGAACTGGGGTACAGGCCAGAGATGCAGGGGGTGTGAGAGGATTCACCAGAGACAGAGTGGGGAGCCAAGCAGGCAGGCTAACGAAGTACACTGCTGAGGGGAGCCCCGGGTGGACCAGGAGAAGTCTGCTGCACCATGGGGGTCAGCTTCAGGACTGGGGATCGAACTCGCACTGAAGCAACTGTGGCTCGCTTGCAGTGCTGTGCTTTAGCCCAGCAGGAAGGGCTGTGTCACCAGGGAGGGCTAAAGTAAATCAAGAAAACAAGGCGGCGGGTTTCTCGGGAAGGACTGTGAGTCCGTGCGGTGGGGCCATGTGAAGGAATGCCAGGGACTAGCTTCACAGTGGAGAAGGTGCCCACGAGAAGAGCCTTCTAGCTGGGCACTGGGGCCGTCTCGGAGAGATTGCTTTGTCTTCCAGACCTCAGCACTGCCAGACACCTGTCCCCACCTGGGTGTTTGCGTGAGCTGCTGGGGGTGGGAGGGGAAGGGGCTGGAGCCAGAGCTTGGGTCACCCCTCGCCTCTCCGGCCCACCTGGGAGGGTGGCACCAGCCAGTCACGCAGAGCGCGGGGACGGTGGTAGGTGAGGAAAGCTCAGCGCTCTGTGGTCCCCCAAAACAAGTCCCAGTTGTGTACTCACACCAAGTCCTTGACACGATGAGAATTTCTCAGGTGGGGCCTGCGGGGGCGGGGGTCTGGCCCCTGCCTAGTGCCCTCCCCTCATGCCACATATATTAGCTATTGCTCAGATCACTTGGAAACTTGACAGCTTTGAACAACAGTAAGCGTTTGTTATCACACACGGTTGTAAGGCTCAGGATGTTGGTTCTGGCTCTGGCCTTCAAGACTCCACAGGGTGCAGGGTTCATTTCCAAGAAGGTAAATGTGAGCCTCACTCATGTCACTGGCAAAGGGGCCTCAGTCCTCCCCGCAGGCACCTCTCTGGCATAAACCCCCATGCCTCCAGCTGTCGCTCAGCATTTTTTGAGTCATTGAATCCAGGAGAGTCTCAAGATACTGGGCCCAGTCCCAGCCCGCCCACTTTCACTTTCACCCACCTCTTAACAGGGACTTTCACTTTCACCCACTCACAAGGACTTTCGCTTTCACTTCTGCCTCTCACAAGGACTTTCACTTCTATATACTCAGGATCCTGGGTCATCCAGGATGATCTCATCTTGAGATCACTTTCACGTGGCTCTGGACTTTTATGTGGACATTTTCCTGTGGGAGGGGCACCCTTCAACCTACACAGCTGTCAGACTCCCTCCCCCATCTTCTCCTAAGAACCCATTATATTTGGGTTCACTTGGGTAATCCTGGCCAATTTCTTTCTCCACCTCAGGATCCTTAACTCAATCACATCTGCCATGACCCTTTTGCTATATGAGTTATAGATTTGGGGGGATTGGGAGTTGATACCTTTGGGGGGTTGTTTGATGTTTTTTGTTTTTGTTTTTATTTTACAATAGTTTATTTTTACATCATTTTGTACATTTTTTTTCCATCTCAATTGTAATCCCCACGGGCATTATTTGAT